TTTAAAAAAAAAAAAAAAAAAAAATGTGTTATTAACCAGGTTTACAACGAATGCAGAGGCCGTCCGATCCCCTCAACGGTTCTCCAGTCTCTTCATCTACTCTTAGTAAAGCCACAGGATACAAAGAACTGCCGCATAGCGGGACAAATCCAACTGCTCCAATCGTGTTATCGATATTCACTGTTCGAAATAATTTTTACGTAAAAACGAATCGTTTAAAATCGTGAGATAATAAAAGTAAGGTAAAGGCCAAATTACCAAGATTCGAATTCCCTTCCGTGGCACCGTAAAATTCTCCTATTTGCTTCACACCGAATCTATCCACGAAAGGTTTCCATATCTGGGGTCTGAGACCATTTCCAAACATCAGTCGAACTTTGTGCGTTGTATCGCAAGGGGCAGCCGGCGCAGTGAGCAGATATCGACATATCTCGCCGATGTACTGAGCAACCTATGACCGGCAGAGAAAAACACAAAGAATACGGATGAGAATACATATACGGATGTTCAACAAGCTTGATATATATATATAGATTCATATATATTTTTTTTTTTATTTATTTAAACAAAATTCAACGAGATCTAGATCTAGACGGTAGTGGAGGAATAAGTTTACGGTGCACTCGTAATGAACACAATCCGGCCAAAATTTGGAAGCGCTGAAACGTCTGCGAAGCACGACTGTGATTCCTCTCAGCAATGCTTGACCTACTCCAATTAGGCCCCCAGCCGTGTGATAGAGAGGCAAGGAATTATAAATACGATCGGTTGGCCGTAGATTCAGCATAGAGTTCACGCCGCATGACATCAGCATGTATCTAAAAATGATAATTGATCATTGATACATCGAGATGTAAAACGATACTCGTGGTAATCAACGAGAGAGAAACTCTCAGATAGCAAGCGTAGTAGACAATAAGCGTATAAGCGGATGTTGTTGTAGACGATAATAAGAATTTTAATATTATTCAACTATTAAAGAATTTTCTTTAATTGGCGCGCTTATTTAATTTTTGCAAGTCGCTGGAAGAAAATATTGGTTTTTTATACGAATTTTAAATTACTTTTTATATAAAAGCTACGTACTTTCTTTCGATTTTTAATTTTTTCTTCGATTTTGAATGATCGTAAAAGATGTTATTTGAAAAATAAAGAGACAAAAATAAGAAAATCGTACCTTAAATTTGTTATAACGGCAGCTTTCGGCATCCCTGTGGTGCCAGACGTGTATATATAAATCAATTTGTCCCTAGGAGTACCGAGGGCCACTGTGTCCAGGGGTCCCGAATCTACGCTACTGATTTCCGGGTTCAAATCGATCGCTCCTTCCAGGCACGATGTGTCGGGAAGTTCAGACCATTGATACAGAGCCACATTGGGAATTCTCTCTCTAATTTCGACCATTGCTGAGAAGAGAAAATTGCTAT